AAAGACATACCGATTGCCGAGACGAGCATGGAGGTCGATAACAAGTTGCTCCTCAGATTCAGTGAGTAGACCACGCTTCAAGTCAGGCCGGAGGTAGTTGGTCCAACGGAGGCGACAGCTCTTGCCACAGCGGCGGAGACCAGCCAGCTTAGGGAGGGCTCGCCAGCAACATGGACCGTTGGTGAGGATAAATTTGATAAGTTTCTTATCTTCCTCAGCCGTCCACGGCCCTTTCTTCACTCCTAATTTGTCACAACATGGCTGTCTTCCCATTACAGACTGGTTGCACCGCCACCAACCTCCACCAGATAAACGAACAAATAGCAAAAAAAACTATAACCCCTCAAACACACTAATTAACCAACTATAGTACAACCACCAACCTACAATTATATACACATATATGCATTGAGACATGGAGAGACTAATGTAGTACACCGGTCCCACCATTAGCTTATGAAAGATACGGGCTACCGGCAACCCGGTTCCAGTGGTAAAAGTTGATGTACAAAGGAATTGAGAGAGATCTGGGTACCACAGAAAACATTTGATTATTTTTAATATTATTATTTGAAGTCAACAACTTTTCATATTATACACTTATATTTACATCAAAAATACAACTGACGAGGAATTTTTCACAACGTGAATCGTCTTTTATTATAATAGTGCTAAGATAATCGGTTTTTATTAATGTATATATTCCATGTTTAGATTTTTAATGTTTCTTGAATAGTTTAAAGCTAATGGTGGATATAACTCATTAAAGGCGCTTCCGTTGTAATGTTAGATGTGATCGCAAAACATTAGAGCTAATAGAGCTAATTTGAGAGTGCAAGTGTTCAAACTATGAACCTCTTGTATACAAGAAGTTTCACATATCAACAACTAAGCTTCCATATATCATGAGACTAGATATAAAGATGCATTAGAAGTTAGTTTCTTTTTAATGTTTTTAATTAATATAAAAATGTGTATACTACATATATGATTATGATTTTTTGTCTATAAATATTATTCTAATGTTTTTAGAAGTTGTAAACAAAGAATAAACACAAAGGTGATCACTTGACCGTCTTCATCCGTTTGAGTTTTTGACCGAACTAGATAATCGAACATAAACACAAAAGCAAACTAATATGTTTTCATGTTAATGTGTATTAGTTAAAAAAGTAAACTTGTTTGTTTTTATTTATATTTATATGTTAATGGTAAAATTAACACAAATAAACGAACATGTTTGTGAGCAACGTCCATCTATTAACATGTTCACTGCCAAATAAATAACCCCTGTATCAAAGTAACACTACAAATAAGTTTACAAAGCACTAATAGTCTGAAATCACAAATCTAAAATCATAACAAAATAATGATGATCTGTAGTGTTTGACATTCCTTGAATAAACTGATTTTCTTCTTAGAAAACCGAATAAAACATGATGTATTATATAGTAGAAAAATTGTATCTATCCTAGGTACGTAGAGAAGAGAGAGATGGAAACTATGAGTAATGAAGGCGAATGGTCGGAGGTACATCGTCGGAGGCAAAGAAAATGTGGGCAAGCGATGGGACCACAGAGGGGTAACCACCATGTTTATATCCAATATTCCGAATGGTGTCAACAGGGCCGGTTCTAAGGATTCAAATGCCCAAGACGAAACGGATAAAAAAGACCCTTGGGCCTTAACGTGTAACACTGTAACGAATTAAATTACATAAACTAATTTTTTATTAAAATGACGATAAACCTTATAGCAATAAACATAGCAAAATATAATATTTTAATGACTAATAACATATCCTAACGCTAACTGACGATCCTTGAAGCTCTCCTAGCATTCTTGATTGCAAATTGGTTGATCAACTCTTCGTAGTCATACTCTCTAAGATTTCGTTTTCGATAGATATCATCGCCAAACCGCTAAGTCTTTCTTGGGTAATTGTGGAGCGTAAGTAAGATTTCACAAACTTCAATTTGGAAAAACTCTTTTCTGCAGATGCGACCGTTACTGGAATAGTCAACAATATTTTATATGCAATGCTTGCATTTAGGAAATAATCTAGTTCTTTCAAAAACTTCAAAACATCTATAGGGTTACTACATTCATTGGTTTCCAATGTCTCAAATAATTTCAACTTCGTATAAAGTTCATCGACATCAATATCTGATCTTTCTTCAAACTTGAGTGCTTTTTCAAGAAGATGACAAGATCTTTATCTTCAATTCCCCTTAAATTATGTGGAAATAAAAAACCAAATACTTTGTTATACTCTTTGAATTGTCCAAATCTTGTCTCAAGAGAAGAAATAGTTTGATCAACAATGTATAAGAAATAATTGACTCTGAAATTCTCTTTGGGTGGAAATGAAACTTCTTCGCTACTTGAGCTCTCGTCAAACCTTTTTTTTCTTTCAATCAAACGCTTTTGTGGAAATATTGGATCAATACCCATTTCAATAGCAATCTCCTTAGCTTCAACAATCGCTTTTGAAAAACCAGTTTCTCTATAATCCTTGAAGTACCCAATCAATTTGTTTATTTTTGTAATAACATTATCAAGATGCATATCCTTTGATTGTAACTTCTTAGTCACAATATTCACATTGTTTAGTACTTCATACCAAACAACAGTTGATACAAAAAATTCAAAGTCACCAAGTTCTTTTTCTGCTAGTGAAGTTGCTTCACTTGCAATTGCAGCATCATTATCTCTTTCTCCAACTTGAAGTAAAGTTTCCCGTACATACACAAGTTGCAGTTTAATAGCCTTTACACTGTCAACCCGGCTTTCCCAACGAGTTTGACACAATGACTTAAGACTCCAAGCTTTAACATTATCTTTCAAAATTTCTCACCTCTTAGTAGAATTTGCAAAGATAGTATAAATACGTTGGATGAATCCAAAAAAGTTCTTTCCTTTAACACACTTGTTAGCCATATCACATAATGTTAGATTAAGAGAATGGCAACCACAAGGAGTGTAAAATGCTCTAGGATTTATATCTAAAAATCTCTTTTGCACTCCTTGGTGTTTTCCTTTCATGTTTGCTCCATTATCATAGTCTTGACCACACATATCATCAATTTGAAAACCAAGAGACTTTAACTCCTCAAGTGTAATATCAAATAATCCTTTTCCGCATGTATCATCAACATTCAAAAAACCTAAAAAGAACTCCTCAATAGTAACATAATTATATGATAACTTTAAATACCTCACTATTATAGTCATCTGTTCTTGGTGACTTGAATCGGGAGTACAATAAAGTATGACTGAGTAGTACTTTGCTTCCTTTATCTTCTTGATAAGTTCTTTTTTAATTTCCTCAGCTAGCAAAGATATTAGTTCATTTTGGATTAGGTGGCCAATATAATGCACATGAAGCCCTTCACTTGTGATCCGTCACACACGCTCTTTGATAACCGGGTCAAACTTTTCCAACATTTCAATGACACCCAAAAAATTTCCATTACGTGTTAAATACAATTAACAAATAAGAAGTGGAATCAGTCATCATAATTAAAAAAAGATTTTTGGTGGAACTGGAACAAAAAAAATACAATTTATAGTTACCTTTTTTATAAAATTTTTCATTGGATCCACGAAATGCTAAATTATGTTTAGCAAGAAACTTCACTACTACAATAATTCTTAAAAGGACTTGTTTCCAGTAATCTCTTTCGTTCTTCAACTGCTCGTGTTGAACTTTATCAATTGTTTCGTTTAAGTTCAATCTTTTACGCATGTCAAACCACTTATTCCTATTTGTAAGATGATCCAATGAAATTTCGTGTTCTTTAACCCTAGTGGTAACATGGTGCCAATCAGCATAACCTTCACCATCCAATTTACGTTTCGAAATCCCTTTTCTAAACACTTTACGACAAAAACAAAATACCATGTCTAGCTCTTTCGAATATACTATCCATTCTCTATCACACTTCTCCAAATTTGATAAAGTTCTTGTATATAAAGCTGCAGAAAACTGTCTACCAAATTTATCGTAGGGACCATACATAATACTATTATCTCTTTTAGAACCTTTCTCAACCAAAAGTTTAGTCTCATCATAATTAAGTTTTTCCCACCTTCTTGGATCATATATATCAACAAGGTCTTTAACAGGCTCATGCTCTTCTGTCTCTTCTACTTCTACATGCTCTTGCTCTTCAACATGCTCTTCAATGTGCTCTTCAACAGGTTGTCTATGGATAAACTTATCTAGAGCACCAGCGTCAACCTTTATCTGTTCTTCATCTAGTTTTCTCTTTTTACGTTTTTGATAATTGGATGGTTGTTTAGACTTCATTACTACAAGTTCATTAGTTTCAACTTTCAACATTCAAGCAATTACAATAAATATAAACTCATAATTTAAACTACTAAACTGATTTCTATGAATCTTAGAAACTAATTCATTCATTCAATATTCTATTAAACTGATTTTTGTAGTAGATAAACTGATAATAAAATATTAAATTCATTCAACATTCTATTAAACTGATAATCTATGAAAGTATGAATCATTCAAGTAAGAAATTGACAACTATAAACTTGATAATCCTCAACTTCTCATAAATCATACCTGATTGGCTCATTAGCACGAGATAAAATCAGATAATCGACCTTGATAATCCTCAATTTCTCATAAAAGATCGAACTTCAACCCATGCTGAATGGAGCTGAGTTGTTGTCTTGCTGTTGCTGAATCTGTGAATCGCATTCACCCCTCTCCTTTCGTCGCTTAATCGCCAAGACGCTAATAAAGGTGTTGTCGATTGCTTTTTTTTAACGAACAAACTGATCGAGTAATCGATGATCGTGATGTGGCTTTTGTTTCGTGATTTCGTTCAATTCCTTCTCCCATACGTAGATGAGTAGATGCTTAAACATTTGGATTATTAGGCTGCAAATTGTATATACTACAAAAAGAAATGGGCCCCTTAAATTTTTGGGCCCTATTCCAATGCCCACATTGCACATGGGCTAAACCGGGCATGGATGTCAACAAGGAGACAATAAGGAGACTCTTCACCAAATTTGGGGAGCTAACAGATGTCTACATTGCGACAAAAAAGGATTCAAAAATGAAGAACTTTGCCTTAGTAAGATTCAAAAAGGTTAGTAGAGAAAGGGAGTTGGAAGCAGCGATGCAGATGATAAAATGCTCGAGGTCATTACTTACAGTCAATATAGCGAAATTTAGAAGAAAGGAGGTGGCCAAACAAGAAGTTGGGGTTAGAAGAAAGCCGCATATGTCCAAAGACCTACGGGACAGTCATTCTGAGATGGTAGGTCATTCGTGGAGGTTGTTATAGGAAGGCACCACACACCTCCTCCTCCGCATACTCTATTAAAAAAACCGGTGGCCCTCGTAAACGGAACAACTATGGCGGAATGGTTCCACAACCCCTTAACCTTATTCGGAGAAGCACACAACTTGGAGAAACTAAGAAAAGTACTATTTGGTTTTAGAATGGGGGTCAAGCATGCATATGGAATGAAGTATTTTGGAGGATTAATGGCGGGGATACGCTTCCAGTCCCCGTCTGATGTCGAGGAATTCTTATCAAAGAAGAACTACTGGGGTATATGGTTCAAAGATTTCAAGGAGGGAAATACAATGGAAGGAGTTTTCGATAGGATAGCTTGGTTAAAAATTGTTGGCCTCCCAGTGAACCTCTGGAATGAAGAAACCCTCTCCAGAATTGCCAATGAATTCGATAAGGTGATAGAGCCAGTTGAGATTCTGCCAAGTATTCAGGACCTGTCCCTAGGGAACATCTACAACCTGACAGAAAACAAAAAGAAAATCAACGATGAATTATTGGTGGAAATAAATTGAAACATCTTCAACGTGGGTGTGATGGAAAGTGACTGCGATTGGTCCCCATTCCAATCTGGACCGGTCGACATGTTAGAAGTCTATGAGGCTGAGGAGGATGTTGACATAGCGATGAATATGAATTTGGATGATAATGTGTCGGAAGAAGGTGAAATCAAAGACATAACTGAGGATGGTGAGGAAGGGATATCATAGACCAATTTGGCTAATGAGTCGGAGGCAAAAAACAAGGATGTCGGTGTAGATGTCATTCCGGCGACGGTGGAAGTGCCGATACCAAACGCAGGTGTGGAAGACGGTGAACCTGGTGAAGTCCACCAGCCGCATAGGGAAAGACAACTACCATTAGTAAGAAATAATTGGCATGAGAACATGAAGTTAATAAATGATGGTGATTATCACGAGAAAGGATTACACACCCAACTGGTGAGATTCAACCAAATCCAATAAGCAAGGAGGATGGGCCGTTTGGATCGATTGGCATCTATGGGATGCTTTAGGCCGGTTCCTTCGGGGCACGAACCTTCCATGCCTAATGGACCATCTTTTTTAGTAGAACCAATTAATGATCATAACCTGGAACCCATGTATGAAGCAGGTGGTACCTTGGCAAAATGCAGAAGACTTCACAGATCCTCGATCACAGATATACCCTTGAATCAAATGTCGTTCGATCCAAAATGCCATGATGATATAATCCCTGATCGAAACCCACTACCCGAACCCCATGGATCCCCTAAAGTTCGATCTCCATTAGATGAATACCATAAAACGGTGGAGATTAGACAAATCCTAGGCTTCGAAATTAATAATGGTGACCCTATCCTCATGGAGGCAATGAATGAAATCAACGAGATCCCAACTCCCCAATGAATTTAATGACCCTAAATATTCGAAGGATAGGAGAGAATCATAAAGTTGATTGGGTCTGCAGATTACGGATGACCCAAAGACTAGTAGTTATGGCGATTCAAGAAACTCATTTAGGTGATCTCCAAAACTCGTTAAATATTTCAAGGTGTTGGGGTAACGATAAATATGGATTCCAATTTCTGAAAGCTACTGGGAGATCGGGAGGCTTGCTCACAATATGGGACCCTAATTTCTTTAATATTGGTAAAACGATCAAGTCCAGGTATTTCCTAGCAACCTTTGGAACCTTCCCGTCTGTTGATGGTATGGTAAATGTAGTAAATGTGTATGGCGCTAAACCCGTCTCATAAAAAAACGAAGCTATGGAATGACCTTCTTAATTTAAAACAAGCAAAACAGGCCACCTGGATAATTCTTGGTGACATTAACGATGTCCGGAGACCTGATGAAAGGATCAACTTGACCTTCTATAAATCGAGTGCTGATTATTTCAATCGCTTCATAGAAAGAGCTGAATTACACGATTTGAAAACGGGAGGGAATAGATACACTTATTTTCAGCAATTCGGGGCGAAGCTGAGCAAATTAGATAGATATTTGGTATGTTTAAATTTCATTGACAAATTTCCTATGATCTCATCTATTACTCTTCCCAGAGAGATTTCAGACCACTCTCTTGTGATCCTTAAAACGGAGATTGAAGACTTTGGTCCACCCCCATTTAAGATGTTTAATTCATGGTTGTTGTAAGATGGCTTTGACCAGGTGGTATTTAAAGCATGGGAAGAATTCAAAGGATATTGTGTTGTTGATGCTTTCCTAGCATATAAATTCAAACACTTGAAGGGTGAAATCAAGAAATGGGGGGCTATTGAATTTCAAAAAGAGAATGAGGAACTTATGAACACGAAAAAAAGAATAGGAGAGATCGACTCAGTGGCGGAAACTAGGTAATTGTCTGATCTTGAAATCGAAGAAAGAGCTAGAGGTTTTTGTAGGATCTCTGAATTGCAAAGGCTCGCTTCTTTGAATCTCAGGCAGAAAGCAAGGATTAAGTGGGTAGTAGAAGGGTACGAGAATTCTCATTTCTTCCAAGGATACGTTAATAACAGGGCAAGAAGAAACCAGATTCATGGTCTCATGGCGAATGAGAAATAGGTATCAAATCCTGACGAAATGAAAAATGAAGCTGTGAATTTTTTCTCCAACAAGTTCCATGAAAAATGGGTGTCTAGAACAAGATTTAGCAGCGAATTATTTAGAAAGCTATCTTCAACAAATGTTGAAATTTTAGAGGTGCCGATCTCACTCATTGAAATAAAAAACTCCATTTGGTCATGTGGTAGCGAGAAGGCCCCAGGGTCGGACGGGTTTACCCTTAAGTTCTTCAAAAAATTCTGGGTAACCATAAAAGATGATGTATTTGCATTTCTAAAATATTTTGAAAGGTGGGGCAAGTTCTCAAGGGGTTGTAATGCCTCTTTTATTACACTGGCTGCGAAGATTAAAGACCTACTTAGCCTTGTTGTTTATCGTCCAATTAGTTTGATTGGATCGATGTATAAGATCATTGCAAAGATCCTTGTTTTGAGAGTTAAAAGGGTAATTGGGAGTGTGATTGATGAGGTTCAATCCGACATTGTAGAAGGGCGGAACATTTTAGAGGGGCCTCTCATTGTAAATGAGATATGTTCGTGGGCCAAGGAAAACGGGAAAGAAATTCTATTGTTCAAGGCAGATTTCAGCAAGGCTTTCAATTCTATTAATTGGGGATATCTTCATTCTATAATGGCCCAAATGAATTTTGGGTGTAAATGGAGATCGTGGATCTGGGTTTGCTTGGAGTCAGCAAGAGCTTCTATTATCATTAATGGAAGCCCTACTAGGGAGTTTGCAATGTCAAAGGGGGTGAGAAAAGGGGACCCGCTTTCCCCTTTCTTGTTTATTATCACGATGAAGGGACTAAATATTGCATTGAAGTCAGCGACCTTCAAAGGTATATTCGATGGGATTTGGATTCCAAATTCTAACATTTGCTTGTCCCATCTCTTATACGCATATGACGCTTTGTTCTGTAACATCCCAAAAATCAAGGGTAAAAATTTCATTTTTATTATAGTCAAAACACGATTGTAAACTTTGTCAAAACATTGAAAAACATTTCAAATAAAACACTTATCAGATTTCATTCCCAAAGATCACATATTGCGGAAAACACGGGTGTATGCACTGCGATCATCCCAAGCTCTTTCATTTGAAAACTGGAGTACCTAAAACATAAACTGAAAACCGTAAGCACAAAGCTTAGTGAGTTCCCCAAATATCACATAACATACAAGAAACATACAATAAACATATAGTGGGCCCCGCCCTGTCATCGGGTGTCACACCCCGCTAAAGCGGAAACACGAGGAGTGGCAGTACAAAGGGTCTCATAGCAAAAGTTAAAAGACAACACCAACCATAGTATTAAAAAGTATTACAATTTACAATGACTTTGAACAACTTTTTAAAATAAATAACAATGTATTTGAAAGACAACACATGCAAATGCTCCTACAAGTGTTGTGTCCCTAAGTGCCATCTTATAGACTAGTTCCTGAAAAAGCATGTAAAATGAGCGGTCAACTACCGAAATAGTTGGTGAGTACTCACAAGTTAAAACTACTATTGGTTTCATGAAACGTAATCAAAGTTTTGATAGAAGTTTCCATAAATAAAAGTACATTGCTAAAATTAGTAAATAAGTTTGCATAAACAAAGTTCTTTGTCATCATGATGAATAAAGTATGTTTCCCAAATGAGATGCAACGTTCATATTTTCATGGGAAATAAAGTTCGTTATTAAAACGAGTAACAAGTTTCATTGCTATGATGAGCAAATAAGTTCGTGCTTACAAGGAGCAAACAATTTCATTGCTAAAACAAGTATATAAGTTTCCAGTATTAAGAGTTCGTTGCTATAATGAGAAACAAAGTTCGTTGCTATAATAAGTAAATAAGTTTCCAGTAATAAAAGTTTGTTGCTATAATGAGAAACCAAGTTTTGTTGCTATAATGAGTATACAAGTTTCGTTGCTAAAATGAGATGTAAGATTCGTATGTGCATCAAGTTTCCATTCATGAGTTCACAACTCAAGCCTAATGACCGAATCGTGCCCTATTGACTACAATGTGTATCGCAAACATAGTGTATAAAATGGTAAAATGCACTCAAGCGAATCGTGCGAGTGAGGAGTTGTCTACCTCCTAATAGTGCTATCCATAATGACCATGGGCTCAAAAGAGTTAATGAGTTGTGTCAAATGATTCCAGGGACTTAACTGCGATACAGTCCTCATGAATTAAAGTAACATACACATACATGCAAAATATAGCAACCAAGATTATACGAGTCAAAATAAATACAAAGAACATAAATAATTAAGGACATGCTTTTCCACCCCCAAAACATTTAATAACCTAAAATAGAGGGAGGTGTGAATACTCACCAACTATTTCGGTAGTTGACTGCTCATTTTACATGCTTTTTTAGGAACTCGTCTATAAGATGGCACGTCGGGATACAACACTTGTAGGAGCATTTGCATGTGTTGTCTTTCAAATACATTGTAATTTATTTTAAAAAGTTGTTCAAAGTCATTGTAAATTGTAATACTTTTTAATACTATGGTTGGTGTTGTCTTTTAACTTTTGCTATGAGACCCTTTGTACTGCCATGTCGTTTTCGCTTTAGCGGGTGTGACAGAAATGGTATAAGAGCCGAAGGTTATAGAGAATACCAATTTTCTTTTAGAGAACCACAACTATAGCCAGAAATTTTTAAAACATTTTTAAATACTGAATATACTACTGGTATAACTAATTCGAGTACGCATTATTGGACTTTAATTGAGTATAGCCTGGCCAACTATGCTTAATTAAGGAAAAATTAATGCGAGGCTCGAAACGGTTATAGTAGAATTATGTTCAAAATGAATTTCAACTAAAACTTTTGAAAAACAAAATTTTTCGGTGTGCGTATGGACATTGCATATTGTAGGCATTCATCTAGGTACACTTAGACAGTAAGTGCACTTTTACCACAATGTCTTATTTTGAAATATTCTTATCCATTATCAAGTGCT